CTTCAAACAACGGAAACTAAAATCGTCACAATAGCTGATACGGAGTAATTATCCTCCCCGCTTCATGCAAAATATTAACCCAAATTATCCTGGGGAGGTTGAAAGACGTTTTGGATGCGTAAGGTTACCCAGATCAACCTGGATCCAGAAGGAGCGAATCATATGCCTTCAGAATAGCGACACAATGCATCGACATTTCACAGACAATATAATTTCAGAAAAATCATTACCGAAACTCTGTTGACTATGGAAATGTGTCAGCCGACTCTCACAAACTGTCAATGTCCAGCTCCTACTACCCTGGACGTCGCGCTTTCTCTGGAAGATTTTCAGAAACAATCTGTAATAACCAACGCGAAAAAACCAGAACACAGATTGACGACTCAAGAATCCTTTATTCTCACGCCAATACGTAACCTACAATAAGGTTATTATACACAAGGTCTAAGAATAAATGTTCTAACAATAAATCACGATAATACTTCCCATAGTTTTCCATCTTCCACTGAACAGCGAACAATGAGACGATGACAGCTGTATTGATGACTCCCGCGAAAAATATGAGGGAGTTGCGATTGAGCAAACAACCATGAATTGATCGTCCAATCTTCAACTACATTGACAAAATGTGTTCTGTAGAGTCGAGGACGAATTAATTTGGATAGTGCTTCAGCATTAGGGAGTGCCTCCATCCTTTATGAAACTCATTTTACGAACTTATGGTCGTGCTATATATGAAGTGATTCAAAGCGAGAAGCTCAGAGGAGCGTTTGAAAAGAATACAGGATTAAGAAAATGCTAACTGCTGTCAGTGATGATACTCCTGATTCCAGTGGTCCTTGGGTTGCGAGAAGACGAGTATACCCTCTCTCAGAAGGAGTTTACGTGGAGATATGGATTTATCAGATGTTTTACGTCTTATGTCACACAAACTGGAAGATCTGCAGGCGAAATCCAACAAGTTGCCGGAGATATGACATTAAGTGTACACGCAGAAGTCACGAGTGGTGATGATATGCAGCCAACACCAACAATCACTAGTTATCAGAAACAAAGGAAATCCAAGGGAAGTAATCCCCTTCACTTTTCCACGCAGTATCACCTCGACTGTGGATGAAGGTGCCAAAGACACGTGGGATAGGAAGAGCACATCGTACCTTCACTACTCTGAGGTCAGTTTAGTAATACGACTAGACCAGCATAAGGAACAGTTCCTGAATGTTGAACACTGATGTCGGATCAGTGTTTCTGTGTGATTCACAAACTTGGCTATTGTATACTTGTATCAGCATGTGCACTCCCTGGCCCGACACTGAATACCAAATGTCTGTCCGGACATAATGAGCAACAAGGATCGCTGTAAACATACCGAAAACCAGTGGTAATCACGTATTCCCATTATAAGCTAAACTTATGTAACTTAAATTATAACTTAAACGTACCTGTATGATCGATATTCGTTGGCATAGGCAGGAATAACCTAATAGTTTTACTAAAACATAGTAACCGACAATTATACAGAACGGAAATCTGATGGAGTGAGAACGTTTGAAGCATCACGTATCATTCCAGCCAGTTACGTTACTAGGAGCATTTCGAGCTCCTTCACGGCGACCGTCTGCTGGATTTAATGTACACATACTTTGTGTGGCTGTTTTTCTGCTAGGCCAGCAATTTGAGAACAGCACCACTATATTTTCTAACCTGAACCCTCTAAACCGTTAGGCAGCCTTAAATTTAAGCCCATCTACTGAAGGTAGAATATAATACTTAGGGTTGTACAGGCATATATACATATTGGCGATAATACAAACAGGTAACATACATACCCAATCACACACGCAGCAGCCTCACTTTTCCCTCTTGAAAGTCCTACTGTCTATAACGTGATCCAGTCAACGTGGAAAACTGGGCTGATGATTTAAGACGAAGTAATTGAGGCTCAGTTGGCTTTACTTATTTCTTCGATATTCTAAAAAGTTACGCTCCATCTCCTTGCATTAGGCGTTGACAGTGTCGTGGGTAAAAATGTTTGAGGTGGAATAAAGAGCAGTGCCAACTGGAGGGAACTTCAAAGATCGGAATGTAGATGTGACTTGCTGTTGCTGACCTGTATTCCAAGGAAATAAAACGTCATCCTAAAAGTTGTTTCCTGCATAACTAGTAATTCATAACCACCAGCCTGAATGCCATTTTGGCTACTTGATTTTCAATATCTAAAACGTGTGGTATTTTGGAAGCGAACATTTAACAGGATTAAACCACAGAAAAATGAAAAAGAAGTTCGGGAGAGATGTAAGTGTAAACAGATATTTGAAGTTTGTACGTTAGCTTCTCCCTATCGACAGGAGTTCGGTGTTTGTGCCCGCGTATATTAATAAACGACTCACTCTTCTCAAACTTACAAGTTTTAGACAGACGAAGTATGGATGAAAAAGATTCTGATGTAAAAACAGAACAACACAAAAGTCCGTTAAGTGGATGGTGTATCGAAAGTCAAATAGTACTGGCAGTAGCATTCAGAGAACTACACAGCAACCACGCCTACCAATGGGGCTTGGCACTTATTTGAATATGAGTATCTCTGTAAATAATGCTTCATTGAAAAGTGTTAAAATAGCTTATGCTGCTGCAAGTTGGTCTGAGAAATTTTCACCAAAACGTAATAACCCCACCACAGTGAACGAATTTCGCAGGATTGAGTTGAATGATGTGGAAAGATATTTTGGATTCAATAGGTTTGCTGAGAGTAAGCGTGTCAACAAACCCACACCTGATACGAAGAAATCCTCTCAAAACACATATGCGTTTGGTGGTTTTCGGCATACTCTGCCTTATAGAAACTCAGATTCCGAAACCCCCAAAGTTCGGCGACTGAAGCACCTTCCCCCACAATATTCTCCTGGTCATAAAAAACACGAAGACGTGTGCCGGTATGCCGAATAGCAGATTAATAGGTAGACCTTATGATGCTATGCCTTTTAATCCACAACCCAGCCCCGAACACTACTACCCGTACATCCGAGAACACACAGTAAACGTTTCAAGTTTCCTGAATCACTGGTACGACCTGTAGCACCTAGTAACACATCGTCTCACCCTAGCTCCGATGTATGGACACCCAGTCCGACCCCCTTATCATCCGTAAACTCTTCCGGTGATGACGCGCGAATAGAATTAGGTTATGGCGATATTTTAAACCAGTTTGTAACCCATGCGCAGTAGTACTAATCAATGCGCTTTCTCTGGTCAATAAGATGTTTGAACTATGAACATTAATATTAAACGCCAAGCCTACTGTAGTTCTGATAACTGAATCATGCTGCTCATCCACTATGCTTGATATGCATTTATGTGTAGATAATTACACTGTATACTGTGCAAATAGAGATTGAAAACATAGTGGAGGATGCCTCATACGTATACATAACTCATCTGTACTCAGTAAGGTGGAAGATGAAATCCTGAATGAGGTACCTGATTCACTCCAGATCGTCCTACGCCGAGGTAAGTACAAACTTCTCATAGGCTGTGTTTATCGAGCATCATGCTCAATCAGATAAACTGATGCGTCGTTAGCTAGGTCATCTGAACAAGCCTCCTCGTTTAGTACTATTTACAAAATAATTTCACGGGACTTGAATCACCCGGACATCCATTGGTCAAGTATTCCTGGCCCCAATGCTTCGGCGAATTACTTGCCAGATTTTCCAGTAGACACCAGAACCACCCAGTAGCATGATATAACATAGTTACAGCATACAGACTGTTGAGTGGTGCGCGAACTCATTCGACTCTATAAATTTGATGTCAGCTTCACCACTGACTCCCTGGAGGCGGTAGTGTCCCCGATTTACAGATTGTCAACCTTTGTCTGGATACTGTTGCTCCTAAGAAAGTAGCGAAATTAAGTAGGCACTAGGCTGAATAAATCTCAAGGGCATGCCGCAATTAGCTAAGGATGTCTATGAAACAGCGCTATTCTGCTAAATATATATCACCACTTTACTCAATCCACGAGTCTCTAGAACCTATCAAGCACCTACGCTCTCAAAATGACCTCGACGAAGAGCTTAGGGTACTTAAAAGTACCCCTGCACACTTAGCTACCACCGACCAAGGAGAGGCTTGACTATTGACTAAAAGATATAAAAGGACAAGAATCACCCAAAAACATTTGCTCTGCAACTGAGCAGGTATAGGCTTCCTCGTGGAAGTCCCAGCAGTATACTCAACAGAGGACGCTCCCAGTTACTTCTACTGAGGGTCTGCTGTCGATCACACTTGTAAACGGTAGAAGTAGCTACTAAAACGTCTGTGGACAGCCTTCAACGAACAATCACGCAACGACAAGTGCTGCGTCCAAACGGCCTATCCTCCTAAAATCACATACACCATTCTTGGGTGGAAATCTAAACTTATCGTTTCACTACTTTTTAGACTCTCCTAAATTACTATCCTGAATACTGCAACTAATAAACAGAAACCTATGATTATTGATATTACATACATATATACGCATACATATATCGATTTCAAATTTATTCATCCGTCTGCCTCTACATTTTCTTTCTTTCTTTTTCTGTCTTTTAGTCTGAATAAGCGACACTAATTATGTCATAATTATTATATCTTTTCTGTTATCGACGACACCAGAGGACTAACTAGTGTAAGGATCAACTCCATTCACAGAAGTAACAAAGTCTTAAGACACCGCATACTACAAAAAACATATAATTAATCCCAGCACTACTCCTTTTGGAGTCGACCAAAGCTAAGAAAGTTAAGTGGAGAAACCAACTACGCAGAAGTTTACCAAAGAACTACAACCCTCGCCACGAAATCAAGAAGCGAGCACAAAGAAACCAAATTGACTTATACTAGCTCGTAAAAGCCATATTGGACATTGGATAATGAAATCAGCTGCTCCCTTTCAAGGTCGCGAATTTCTTTAAAAGGATGTAACTAGTATTCGCATCAGTTAACAATCGCCGTCAATAATGAAATTACGCCCAGGAGATAAGGAGGGCTACTACGATGCTAATGAAATGGGTGGCCCACCACTAACTCCGGGAGGTGGAAGCAGATATTTTGATGGACAAGGTTACACAGGTCGTCAAGACCCATATGCAAATGTAAGTGTATCTAAATAGATTCAATGCAGTTATGTCAGTCTAAGCTATGTTTCTTCTCCTATCACTTTAATATGTGGGGCGACAGAAGCGGATCCAACAACATTTCCAACAGCTTTTATTACACACAATTACTGCTTATACAAAAAATTAGACTGTCGCTATACTTTTTGAACGTTAGCTCTTTCATTTTCAGGTTATGCGAGTAATGAGGTGACACACTAGTATCTCTGCATACACGACCATTGCGATGATCTGCGACTTCTTCTTCTTCTGAGTCACAACCATTGATTGCTGTACCTCGTTACTACTACACTGTTGTTCTCATTTACTACCACACATCAACTTTATATTTCAAATCCTGTGTTGCATTGTTTGAAATGAAATACTCTACGTTGTTTTTTTTCTTAATTTCTAATATTTATTTATTTTATTTATTTATAACTTATTTATTTTATTTTTATTTATTTATCTTTGATTTTTAAAAATCCTATATAATTTATGAGGTAATTAGATGCAATATACTGTAATGCACGCTGAAAATTCCATATCTGTACCACAAATACTGTTTGGAATAAAGCTATTATTATTATTATTTTGAGTGAAGATTTCCAAAAACAAAACATATTTTGTTTCTAGTCAGCTTGAATCAAGAAGACGGTAAGATCATCAATCCAAAGCCCATGTGGCTTACTGGAATTCGCCGATTTCATGATATTTCACACTCTAACTCAATGTAAGCGTTCGTTTAAGATTGTAGACCAGTGTGATCGACTCCACTGCGCCATAGTTGACCGTTTTCTGTGGGCTATACTCACTTACAGGTGAATCTGAGGATGTGATCACAAACTCAATAATGATAGAACGCCACATACTGATGTTCGTAATGTGGTTTCACACTTCTAGAAACCCAAACGATAATGACCCAATTCAGGTAGTCCAAGTAATTGTAAATGATGGCGACATATGCATCTTGAAATGTAGGTAATTTGCTACGAGGTGAAGATGCAGTTCGTTGTCTTTATCCATCGACTTACAGCCAACTGCTCCCGGGTTCGAATTTTTCTCCACCTACCTTCGTCGTATGATATCACAACTCCTAGCACAATAAGTGTCGATATTCAAGTGTTGGCTATAGGCTGACGACACATAAGCGAGTTCCAATTACTAGCCCATAACCAACCTGCTTGGAGACTGTGAATTGGTGACAAAAGCTGAACTCTCGATCACTCAAATGAATGCGGACTAAACTTTTCTTGTTGAGTGTTTTGTGATACCTCAATCTTAGGGAAAACGGTGCACTTGTGTCATAGTGTTTCCAACCTGTATGAATTTTAAATTAACGGCATTTGTCACTAGCTGTTTATCCGGTGGGTCTTGAAATCATTCATCATCAAAATGACTTAATTTTGTATTCTGGCTGGAAACTAAGATATACGTTTTTCTGGCACATACTTTCTTTCAGTCACATTCTTGAGCAATATCAGGAGGATATAGTGTGCACCTGAACTTATAATTTTGTCATCAAACATGACATGAGGTCCCTGGTTTTCACTGGATTCAATCGGCTTATCTGCTTTTGATTATATAAGCATAAGTATCCATAGTACCGAAATGAATGTAAACATTTTTCTAAATATCTCTTTACAGCAGAACTTCCGCAGCGGAACACCAATGTACGGTCAGGATTATGGCAATCAGCCACAGCCGATGTACAACATGGATATGAATCGCAGAAATAATATGGATGTAAGTCCTGTAAGCTATAGCAGTTTCCCATTATTATCTGAAGTGATGAGTCAAAGTTTCCCAGTTCTTCTTAAATTCACTCAGCTTAGGCACACATTTCGCCTTGCATGTGCTGAAGATTGAAAAATGTATTAGTCTCTCCCTTCAGGGAGCAATCGGATCATCCTATCGAGAGAAGAAATGAAAGTACTGAACATCTCTCTCTATCCATTGTATTGACTGAATATAATGAGCCTTGACTATGAACCTACATTTGATAGGTATAGCAGTCAGTTTTCTCATATTTGTAAGTAACAAATACTGTGAACACTAAGGCTGTTTCTTTACCGAAATCGGCATCGTCATTCACAAGTGGATAAAGCGACATGTTCTTTTGCGACTGACCAAAATATGCTAGGCTTGGTTATGTGAGAAGGCAATGTAGGCATGACTAACGTGGTCGACGCTGACTGTACGTATATATGTGCATGCACATTGTGTATCTGGCTGAGTAGTTCCATTTGAGGCAAAACATCTGTTCATTGACCATCTGGTATACACGACGTTTATCCTGCTTATGAACACAGTCCATGAATCGACGTGACCGAATAGGATGGTCCACTGCTTCAGCCATTACTCACATACACTTCACTCCCACATTCTTCCAATTGAGTACAGTTATTTGTTATCGTATCATTTTGATGTACGCGTTATGTGGACCGGTCATAGGTTTGTTTTTAATGGCTTTTATGTCACTTATTTTACAATCCTAATATGTATGTCTACTATTCTGGTTAGCTTTTCCTCGCCAGTTTTATAGCTGTTCCCATTTTGATGTATGCATTATGTGGATCGGTCATAGTTTTGTTTTTAATGGCTTTTATATCACTTATTTTACAATCCTAATATGTTTGTCTACTATTCTGGTTAGCTTTTCCTCGCTAGGTTTATAGCTGTTGCCAAAAAGTATTGACAGAAATTGTTCCACTCCGGAATTAAGAAGGCGAAAGCATACAGCGTTCTGGTGAAAGCCTTCAGGAACCTTATCAGCCAGCCTATGTGTCTTCTCTCGATGAAGGCGAGAATAAGAATGAGGACTTAAATTGTCCGTACATTGTACTAGACTGGGAAGGCTGGCCACCTAGCCAAGGAAATGCGAAGATATGGCATAGGAGTGCTGATTATCTAGGAGAGTGAATGGAATGGGTATGGATTTTCAGAATTGTCAGCCGGAGAGTCAGTAGTCTACCCAGGTCACCCAGATGACAACCACGAGCACACCTAGGCATTGATTAGCTATCATGGTTTCACCAGAGGCAGCCAAATACCGAATATAGTAGTAACCAATTCTATCCAGGATCATGACAGCAAGATTCAACTTAACAGGCAGGAAGGAAAGTTATATTTGTCGAATGCTACGCACAATGCCAAAAAAAACCGAGGAACAAGAGAAGGGCGATTTTATAAACAACCACAAACAGTAATGGTCAATATTCGGAATGATGACATCAAAATCCTTATAGGAGATATGAGTGCCAGTTTAACTGGGAGCAGGTAATACAGGAACAGCACTCAGAATGGGTCGAGACGCTGTGGGTAAAATGACTGAGAATAGAGAACGCCTCGCAGACTCCTGCGCATTCAGTGACTTAGTGATCGGATGAAGCGTGTAAAAGTACAAGGATACACACAAAGCACCATGGCTTTCTACTGACGGACATACCACTAATCAGAAAGATTTAACCTTAATCTTGCTCAAGAAAGTGGAGACACACTCTGCTGGACACAGAGTAATGGAGGGGAGCAGATGTGGGCTAAACATAACATCTGGTTCAAGAACAATTCAAGATGAGGCTGACATTATTCAGTCTAACCGGCTAAAGATCACTGTTCGAGATCAACATTCGGAAATACAAGGACAGAACTACAAGAGATACCTTCACTACAGATCAGATCAGAGCACCGTCGGAGAAAAAACGTGGCACCACTGAGGAAACCTGCGTGGAAGAACACTGGAAATCTCTGAAGGCGATGTTCAAGGAAATGTGTACAACTGTTCTAGGCAGAAGGAAGAGACAAGACAAGAAATGGCTCTCAACGGAATACCTGGAAGCTAATATAAGAGGGAGGGATAGTGAAACAGAAGGTCAACCAGTACTAAGATAGACAACAGAAGGAGAAACTGAGTTCAATGTACAAGGCACTGAGTAAAGAAGTGAAGAAGAGTGCCAAGAAACACAAAATACAGCTATTCAACACCCTGTAGTCTGAAACAGAACAGACCGCAGGGGAAAGAGACCTGAGAACATTATACCAGATAACCAGGTTTCTGGCCCAGGGGAGATCAATCCAGACGATGAAGCATATAAAAGATGTTCGAGGGGACCTAATCATCAAGGAGGAGAGAAAAAGAAAACAATAAGATGATCACTTCAAAGTACTCCTAAGTCAATTACCAACTGCAGCTCTTCCACAAACACCACCGACAGCACGCGCACAACTGCCTGCCAGTGAACACCAATCCTCCAACGGAGGCAGAAATCTTGAATGCGATCAATCTGCTGAAGTTCCGCTAGGAGGGCAGCATGGCCAGATGGAACTCTCCAATACGAATGCAGAGACTTCGGCAGATGTTCTCATGCCATTATTGCAAATGGTTTGGAAGGAAGGGAGGGTACCGAATGATTGGGAGAACGGCTGACTACCTTGACAAGCTACCAAAGAGGGGTGACTCAGGCCTCTACAAGAACTGGCGTGGAATAATCCTCTTGTCCATGCCGAGTGAAATACTAAGTCTCGTTATCGTGGGGAGAACGAAAGATGCACTGGATGCAGAACTCCGCCAGCTCCACCGGAACAAGATGGATTCAGGAAAGGCGAATAATATGCTGATCAAATTGCAACTCTACGCATCATCATCACAGAACAAAGCATAGAATGGCAGCCAAAACTCTCTGTACCTTAATTTCATCGACTTCTGAAAGGCCTTCGACAGACAGCTTTGACCGAGAAGTAATTTTAAAGCTACTTCAACACTAGAGTATGCATTGCCCAAATCTTTCTCAACCTCATTCAACAGCTTGCTAAATGACAATGCCATGAGGAAACAGGAATACGTTGGACTAATAAGAAGACTGTAGAAGATTTGGATTTCGTGGGTCATTTATGTTTTATGTCACATAGACTCGAGTGCTTGTAGGCTAAAACCAACACATTGGCTCGCTGAAGAAGCAGTCAATGAAGAGAGGATTCTTGGTGAACATGGAGAAGACGGAGTTGATGAAGATAAACAACGAACCGCAACAACAACAACCAGCAACAATCACTATCAGCGAGAAAGTAAAGGTGATTTGCTACGAGGTGAAGATGCAGTTCGTTGTCTTTATCCATCGACTTACAGCCAACTGCTCCCGGGTTCGAATTTTTCTCCACCTACCTTCGTCGTATGATATCACAACTCCTAGCACAATAAGTGTCGATATTCAAGTGTTGGCTATAGGCTGACGACACATAAGCGAGTTCCAATTACTAGCCCATAACCAACCTGCTTGGAGACTGTGAATTGGTGACAAAAGCTGAACTCTCGATCACTCAAATGAATGCGGACTAAACTTTTCTTGTTGAGTGTTTTGTGATACCTCAATCTTAGGGAAAACGGTGCACTTGTGTCATAGTGTTTCCAACCTGTATGAATTTTAAATTAACGGCATTTGTCACTAGCTGTTTATCCGGTGGGTCTTGAAATCATTCATCATCAAAATGACTTAATTTTGTATTCTGGCTGGAAACTAAGATATACGTTTTTCTGGCACATACTTTCTTTCAGTCACATTCTTGAGCAACATCAGGAGGATATAGTGTGCACCTGAACTTATAATTTTGTCATCAAACATGACATGAGGTCCCTGGTTTTCACTGGATTCAATCGGCTTATCTGCTTTTGATTATATAAGCATAAGTATCCATAGTACCGAAATGAATGTAAACATTTTTCTAAATATCTCTTTACAGCAGAACTTCCGCAGCGGAACACCAATGTACGGTCAGGATTATGGCAATCAGCCACAGCCGATGTACAACATGGATATGAATCGCAGAAATAATATGGATGTAAGTCCTGTAAGCTATAGCAGTTTCCCATTATTATCTGAAGTGATGAGTCAAAGTTTCCCAGTTCTTCTTAAATTCACTCAGCTTAGGCACACATTTCGCCTTGCATGTGCTGAAGATTGAAAAATGTATTAGTCTCTCCCTTCAGGGAGCAATCGGATCATCCTATCGAGAGAAGAAATGAAAGTACTGAACATCTCTCTCTATCCATTGTATTGACTGAATATAATGAGCCTTGACTATGAACCTACATTTGATAGGTATAGCAGTCAGTTTTCTCATATTTGTAAGTAACAAATACTGTGAACACTAAGGCTGTTTCTTTACCGAAATCGGCATCGTCATTCACAAGTGGATAAAGCGACATGTTCTTTTGCGACTGACCAAAATATGCTAGGCTTGGTTATGTGAGAAGGCAATGTAGGCATGACTAACGTGGTCGACGCTGACTGTACGTATATATGTGCATGCACATTGTGTATCTGGCTGAGTAGTTCCATTTGAGGCAAAACATCTGTTCATTGACCATCTGGTATACACGACGTTTATCCTGCTTATGAACACAGTCCATGAATCGACGTGACCGAATAGGATGGTCCACTGCTTCAGCCATCACTCACATACACTTCACTCCCACATTATTTTAATTGAGTACAAATACCAATGTTAACAGTTGGTTTCGCACAGTCTGGTCGCTCCAGTAGAAGAATAATCACTCCACATAATCTGTGAATGCAACATTTATTATGGTGAAATGAACCTACGATTTTAAGTTCTCTGATATTTTCAAATGGAATTATAGCTCACTCTTAAGCTAATGCTAGAGCTGACAGTCAGATAAACTATGAAATTTGATCCGCTGATTGAGTTGCAATTACTCACGAACTCCGTCGTTTGCTGTTTGCCAGCAGTGCATGTTGACTACATGGCATTCGAAAAGTGCTAAGAGTACAGCAGTTACCTTTAACTCAAGCACGAATTTGGAGAGCAACATCACCGTTTCTCAATACGCACATGCATAGTCCAATGTGCATTTTCAGTGCCAGTATATTTCTACTTTTATGTTCTAGGATGGATATGACCAAAACTCGGATGACTACGATTTTCCCTCAAGAAACCCTGGGTAAGATATACCTTTGCTGATAATTGCTTGTTACTCGTACGTCTATTATACACACGTTTTGCAGTACTATTGTTTGCTGTATAGTACGTTTAACGAATAGAGGAAGCGTGAACACTCCTTGGAGAAACTGTGTCAAACAGAGATAGATTGGGGAATAAAGTCCTGAGTAACTTGTGGTTTTGTGAAAAGACGAGATCAGATGAAAGCAATTAGACTGCTTCACATGGTGAAAGGCGAGATGAAGCGCACAAATAAATTGAAAAGCCGTGACAAAAATTAACTTCAAACAGGCTGTTATAAGTTACTACCGCTTCCGTCTTCTGCAAACACCATCGTACATAGGTGAGGATGGTGGGTCGACATCAACCATGTGAAACGACTGAAAGAAAATGGAATCATAAATATCCCTCGCAGTTTGTGTTTCGTTCAGTCTTCCTGATCACACAAAGTTGAAATTTTGCAACAGTAATGTTCTCAAACAACACGAAAGAATTAGTCAAACCGACTAAAACTGGTAGTTCGTCTTCTGGTCTTAGCGTCACCATCTAGCAAATAAAAGTAAAATTCACAATGTTTCTCCCTCAGAATCCACTACACTGCATACATTTTCACCTCTGGTGAAAATTATAAGTGCTTTACTACGATGATGTCTGGCTAATTTAGAAGCAGTATTCAGCGATGAATAATGACTGTTATCTTATGTAATTTAATGTGATACGTTGATATCTGTCTGTATAATTGGCGAATAGTGTCATTGAAATACATTATGGTTGAATCTTTAGTCAAAATAGCTGGGAACGGTATGGATCAAACAATCCTTCATACGGGAACCGATGGAATGACGCAGATGACCAATGCAAGTAAGCGACCAGTTTTGCATACCAGTTGTCGAAATTATTTCCGTCGTCAGGATTTCGCCATAAATATCACACATATCATGTTTATCTGCACAGTTTTGGCGCAGACATCATGAATTATGAGTATCATTTCGTTGTGCTTGTCGCGAATGATGACGCAACAAATACCTGACATAAAGTAACAAAATGTGTATTAGAAACAGCCAGACATTTTTCTGTGAATAACCGTTTCTGTTTAATCCATATTTATAACTTTCCTCGCAATTACTGAAATTAGGGCGAGACAACAGCTTCTTTTGTCCATTATTATACTCATGGTATTAAACGTTTTAAGGATTCATCTTGTTTCTAGCTTTCTGTACAAGGCGGAGTTAAATCGTCCCCTCTGTCATAAAACCACTTCCTGAAAATAGGGTAAATCATCAACCAAAACATGATAGCGTGAAGCATTGGCACTAGAATGTCTACCCGCAATATTGTTATCGGAATTCCAGTATAAGTAAAAGAACACTGGATGAAGACTGCCCAAGCAGACACAAAATTAAGACAATCTCCTTTTCTCCTTCCGTCATTAATTGATTTACATCAAAAGAATTGACCCAACAAAGGAGAAGTCTTCTCAGAGGAGTCAGGTGACATGCGACTCTAGACTGCTTCACTTTTCTCTCAGTAGAATTTCGCATCAGTGGGTTGTATGAGAAGAATTATATGAATCCCACCATTCATCTGGGAGATGGATAGAAATAAACTATGTGCATGTTCAGAGAAGAAAAAAGGATAACTTGTGATTGTCTTGTTCAATAAAGACTGAATTCTACGCAGAAGAGGGTTTTATACAACGCTAGTAATACCATAGTGCACATCCCGCCAACGATACTTTATTCAATTACGCAAATGAAAGGCTCGTAGAACAGACAATGACTGCACTCATGGTTCTATCAAACAAACCTTTCAATTACTACCTTGGTTCGTACGCACAAACATACACCAACTTTCAATGACCTTTTCAGAATAGTATGAGTTATTTCGTTAACTTTATTCATGACAAGTTCGTCGCTGAAGTCATTGAGGAGAGATATGACTCAGCATATTAGTCTCCACAGCTTACCCATAACAGTGAAACAATGACGAGATTTTTATCTTCAGAAGACATTCAAATGAACTGTGGTCAAGATTTGACAGAATAGTTCTAAAATATTTGGACGCCGAGTCAGAAGTAGACATTTGTAAAAAATTATATTTGTAAAATCTCATCGAGATTGAAATGAGTAATTCCGTTTCGTTCGGCAAACTGGTCCGAACTTCTTCAGGGAAATTAAATGAAATTAACATAATGGAGGTCTATATATAAAAGGAACGTTTCCTGTTTTTAGAAACTTTGTCCAATCATGATTCATAAAACAAGTAACAACAAGTATAATAAAAAAATTGTATGGGCTGTGATCAAAATTTGACCTCGAAATTACAAATACTGGTCTACCTTAGTTAAAAACTTTTACAAATATCTTCAGAAGACGTTAGTGTAAACAGATGATCAGAACTGTTTCAAACCCGTATCGAATCAGTGGTACTGGTGTATTCCAGGAAGATGTTTGTGCATACAAAATGAGTCGTTAGATGTTTAGACTCAAATAGGAAGAAACTCTGGACTCGATTCTAATTCACTGAGTACTTGGCACCAGGGTTTAGTCTGCACCCACAAGTCTGATGATGCAAATGCCAACTACTTGTGTGTAATAAACAAATATTGTGAGCAATTAATAGTCGTCAAACTGAGCATTATGAGTTTGCAAAAGGTTGACAACGAAACAGATCATCTTTCCGTTGTAGCAAGGTAAGATAAGAATCAGGGTTTAGCACAGCTATGTTGCAAACAAAATTACCACTATGCAGGTCATCTTTGTAACGCGTTTTTGTCACTACAAAATTAGCCGTAAATGCAACGCATTTGTTAGTGGATAATAAACATGCATATATTGTTTCAAAATACAGCAGTGAACTAAGTACTCATTGAAAATAAACTGAAAGTCCTCCTATCACCAGTTTCAATATATTTGCATCCTAATGGTTGCAACAGTTTACCATTTACAGTTTACTACTTCCACTGAATAAACTAACTTAAATACATTTCTTTTGTTTAGCAATAGCAGGTTTAACAGAGACTGGCGCTAGAAATTGCATATCAGTCTTCGCCATTACACCAGTCATTTCGTCTTGACTGTCATTTTCGGTGAGTCATATTCCCACGTTCAACGCTTGTTGTTCGATATTTACATATATATAATATATATATTTATAATATATATATATATATTAGCATGAAGTAGACAATTTATACCGGGATAAGTTTCAAACCATAAGCACAAAGATTCAACCCCGTTTGCAACCTTAGATTTGTTGATTTCAATTATTGTTCCATTATCGAAGAACAGCATGATGACTAACATTCCCTTCATGTGAAGTTTATTAACTGCGTTGTTTGTTACAAGAGTTGAAGCGGAGTACAGTGTTGTTGTAAAGCATTGCGTCTATGGCTTTGAAATCCCTCGTATTTCATCACTCCTAGTCTCCTAATGTGAAGATGTAACTTTATTCATGATAAAATATCGTCTGTGAAAGATGAATTGACTGGTCTGGTCAGAATATCTGAGTGCAGTACGCTTCATGTGCTACTTCATATCATCCTACTATGTTTCTTTTGGATCTAAACGACTATTCACCTTCCTACCTATTTAGTTATTGAAAGTAAGTTATTCAGTAAATTCCGCCTGTCTTAGATCATGATGTTCTGATTGTGAATGAGTGCAGTCAGTGTATAGAGCTGAGTGGTGTAGTGGTGAGATTGTAGAGGGATTGAATACAAACTAATTTGGCCTTACTCAACCTGTAGGCGAGATCAAATTATTCAATTTCTAGCCTCTTCAAGTAGTGCACCCCATGCCGATAGTTTAAAATTGTCTAGCTTGTATCTCTGTACAAGGCCTTCTGCTTCCATCTGCATAAATTGTAGAAACACCATTGATTCTGAAATTCAGAATAGGTGTGTTCTATCAATGTGGTGCTAGACCAGAGGATTTAGTCAGAATTTCTTCAAATATTTATACCGGATTACACGGCAACAGAGTTGAAGGACTACTTTCAGTTGGTGATAATCACTGTTAATGGGCGTCTGTGTGTCCTATCACGTAGTGTCACTCAATGAATCATAAAGTGTCACTGTGAAAAGAAAGCGAATATTAGCAACTTCAATGTATTTCTGCGTGTGTTCACATTCTATGAAAAGACGGATGGCAAATACTTTTTCATTGTATACTGCTAAGAGTACATTTTCTTTACTTTCGCTTAAGGGTTTTCTAATAGCGAAGCAAACATTGTTTTCTCCATAAAAATTTCAGATTTCTG